AGGTGTCTGAAACTGAGGTGAAAGTTTTGAGCTGGATGATCAATACGGGAAAGAGAATTCTGCAACTTTACCTCCTGCTAGAGAGGCAATCTGGAGCTGGCTATCATCAAATTAAGGGGTTATTTTTTTGCCATTAAGTCAAGTTTGCTGAACACGTTCCTATTATCCCAGTGTATTTTATTATTTGGTTATTTATGGCGATGTGTGTTTCTTATCTGTCAAAGGGTGGCGTGGCTGCAGTCTCTAGAAACAGATATCCTCTGTTTCCGGGTATTTTTACATCTCCCCTTTTACATATTAGATCGTGACAGCCATTTTATTTAAATTAAACACCAGAATTGTGGTTTTCTAGGCTCCTGGGGAAAATGTCGAAAAGGTAGGATTTATGTTCTATACTGTTTAGAATTATAAACAAGATGATCAGGTCTGTCAAATTAAAGTGGAAATCTGCCATCTGCCATCTTAGAAGGTTTAGGAGATGTGCTGTAGTTAAGGTGTTTGGGTCACTGTAATGGGTTACTTTATCAGCACAGTAATTCCCCTGTATTTCTACTATTACTGTGTGACAAAGGAAATGAACAACACGTAATGCCAGCACGCTCACTGTCCATGCACATAAATATATATATATATCATTTATCAGGTAGAACAGTTGGTTAAGCTGCTTATTACATTGTTTCCTGCAGGCATTAGTTTTGGCTTTTGGACATTCAACTTGCAAAATGAACCTCCTGTCCATAATTTACAACAGCATTCCTCAACTGAAAGCAGTCATAAGACTACTGGTGCCCTCCAGTACCAGAGGCTAAACTAATGGCAATAATGCCTTTTGTATTTTGGAGAAAACAAAATTCTAAAGCTCATTAGAATAATGCTGCATTGTGTATAAATCCCCTGTGCATAGGCCTTCAGAAATAATGAAATAAAGACATCCTCTCACTTTGCACTTTAGAACAGCCGGTCTGCAATTATGAGCTCTTGTGAGATGGGTCATTAAGGTATTAGCATGTAAAATAAGAAGTTATTTTAATCATCCCTTTAGAGGGACTTCAAATAGAAAAAATCTCTGAACCATGGTCCTTCTAGATCTACAAAAATGAAAAGGAGGAGAAAAAAATAATTTATATTTGTGCCCCTTAATAGACTAAAGATTACTGTAAGTGCCGCTGGAAATTATTTTTTTCCTCATCTCTCAGAAAATCTGCTCCCTGTGAGGGATCAAATACTGTGAAATATATAAATTACTAGCCAAGCATTCAGAGAAATGATCGGATTTTGCAAAGTTCAGCAGTGGTCCCACTGGACTTTGTTTTCATTCAAATTAATTTTTTCAGAGGAAAGAACATTTGCAAACTGGTAGTTATTGGGTATGAGATTGTGAGTATTGGATTCATTGAAGATGCTATGTGAAAAACTTCAGAATCTTGGAACAACTTGAGGAAAACGTAAACCTCGATTAAATGTCAGAATATTTTTTTCAGTGTTCTAGTTGCCATTCTTATGCGGGATTTGATTCCTTAACGGAGTGTAGGATGAAGCGCCTGACAGCAGCCAGTGTGTAGATCATAGCCGAATTCCCTTCATTAAAACAGCGCCGATACGCAGAGCTCCAGGAGGTTTCTTGTAAGGATTGCTATTTATACAGCAACATTAGTGGCACCCATCTTATAATTAGGGGGTCCTTTTATTTCTCCTCGTGTTAGTTATTTTTGCGCGGTATGCTGCAGTTAAGTTGGGTCATCTGCTTCATTTCCCCCTCCTCCTCAAAAAAAAACTTCTGGGGCCTTTTGATTTGCATAACAAGATAGGTTTTCATAATGAGGTTCCATGCAGCTCACTGTTACTGTTATGCAAATCTTATTTTGATGAGCAGTCATTGTTAATCAGTGTATTATTTCCACACTCACTGCAGGTACAGAGTTTTGTCCTGGGCAGGAAGCGTAGCTAAGTTTGCTGGCGGGTGCTGATAGGCACGGTAAATGAAAGCCGTAGCTGGAGAGCTGCAGGCAGCAGTTGGCTCTGTGTGAGAGTCGTTCTCAAATGCCACCGCACCACGCGGTAACTACAATTTATTGTGTCTATCACTTGATAAATACAGTTTGCAACGGACGTCATTGTCATCGGGGTTGTTTTTCTGATGAGTTTCCTATAAAACAAAAGAAAATTTCTTTTTCTGCTTCTGTAAATATTTATTGTTCCTGAGTGGGAGACATCTTCATTCAAGCATCGCCATGAAGACAAAGCCCTAACAGCATTTTGACTGGAGCACATACAATGTAAGCCCAGCAAAAAAGCATAGAGTTATCTTCACTATTTCTATTAATTCTTTGTATTTCTCTTACTAGCGTTGTACACTATCTTTTCTAAAACTACAGTAACTGAAACTGTATTTTAGTTTTTACAGAAATATCATTTTTAAATAATACAGGTCATCTCTTTCGTTGAACTGTGCACTCTCTGGTCTCTCTAACTTGTGCTGTACTTTCTGTTAAGGTTTTGTGCTGTAATGTGCTCCACATGATAACTTGGTGTACATCCTTTTCTTTTTCTTATCATAAGCCCACTCAGTAATCTGTAGTGTGTTAGACATCCTTGTGATTGCGGTCTCAAGAGGAAACCAAGCACCTGCAAAGAGTTATTTAATTCATGCAGTAAATTGAATTAATATATATAATACTCAATGAGAGGAAAACAGATAGGGGAGTAGGAAAATAGAAAAATAATAGGTTGTATTATGACCATAAATCTGTCCATTTAAGAACAACATGTAATAACACACTTAAAGCTTGTCCAGACAGTTTCATGGCAAGTGTTTTGTGCTCTTAATAGTTACTGTTTATGTAGAAATTTAATTGGGTTTTAAAGCCAAGACTCTCACAGCTGCAATCCATTACAATGTTTTGGCCTGTTTAATTGCATGCACTTACAGTTGTACACTTCACGAAATGTCTATCATGGTGTTATTTGTCATATAATGGACTAACCATGGGCATTGCCTCCATCTCAGAAACATTTGCATCTTTATAGGAAATGTTCATAAATCTGGAACACAATCTTTGCTGCTCATTATAAGTCTACAGCGATATGTCAATTGAAGCTGACACCACAATTGCTGTTGCTTTGCCCCATACTAAATTACTTAATCCTGCTGCCAGAGCAGAATTAGTAATCTAAATTCAATTATACATAATATAATTATTACATGTACATATATTTGAATTGAATACTACAGTATTTCTCTGTTCTAAATACGGTAGTACTTTAGAATTCTAAAACACAGCAAATTAGGTATTTGCTTTTGTGAAAAATAAACCTCTGCAATAGGGGTAAAACAGTATAAATATGGTTATAAATGTCTATATGTGTGTTGCTAATAATTAGTATTGTTAGTCTTTCTAGTTTGCTGTTGGTGAAATTAATATCATTCTGCAAGAATGTTTTTGAATATTACTTAAATGTCAGATGGTTTGAGGAAAAAAGGATATTTTAATTTTGAATTAAGCTCAAACTTTAGATTATTACAGTTAGCAAATGTACAAAAAAATGATTTCAGTTCTAGATAGATTCGTCTTCTTTTTGAGTGGTAACTCCTTAATGTCACATCGTCTAAGGGCAACATCCCACTGTGCTTATTTTTATTGTTTTTTATGTGAAAAACCTGTAGGAAAATATTTTTGAGCGGGGATTATGTAGAGGCAGTTGTGGTTATTATGCCCTTTTAGTTTATGATATCGTTAAACTAGTGCTAATTAAAAGGCAATTTCTCTTCAGTGATTCTAATCCATTTGTCCATAAGTAAGCAGATGAGGTTGGTATGTCCTAAATATTTAAACAACTCTTCTTCATGTGATGCCAGAATGGGAATTTTGTCTTGCCATGTGTCTGATTCTCTTTCTAATGAAACTCTGCCTGGGTCATGTTTTTTTCTTTTTTATTTAGTAGATTATTTCCCTTGTTGAGGGAAAAAAATGCAAAATAAAACCATGTTTTTACCATTTTTGATGTCCTAAAGAAGCAATTTAAGAAATTAATCTGCAGTGGGCAGCTGCCTCTGTGGATTCTGAAGGCGTGTCCTTGTCAGACCAAAGAAAATCTAAAGCGTGTTTGCTTTGTAGTAGAGAGATTAAAGAGGAATGGGTATCCTTTCACTAAGGCTGTGTGTAAGACGAGTCTCTCATTATACATTTTTAATTTGACTTTTCAGTCAAGCTCCTTGATGTCTCTTTAATGCATTTTCCAAATTTTTACAGATATTTCACTCTTTTTCACTGCTTTTCAACAGTGTACATGTATGTGAATAAAGCTCTTCTGTATAATAGCAAAAAGTACAGAAAATTGACAGGTATTTTCATTTCAGTGGAGTGTAGATGTAAAGGTGTAATGTACAGATTTTTTTTTATTCCAAACCAACTCTTATGTGGTGTTTTACAATTTGGAGTCACCAATGTATTTTATAACTGAGCAGTTCTGAATCTTCAGTTATTTTTCAAGAGTCGCCTTGTGGCAGTAACTCCTGCGCTGCTTGTGGAGAATGAGAACATCCCCGGCAGGAGCTTGCCTTTCTTGATATACTGCAAGTTTCACAGTGCTCTATAGGAGTTACCTTGAATTAGAGGAGCAGTAGGACTTGCTGATATCCCTGCAAGTCAGCAGGCTCCAGCAGTCAAGATTTCATTGAAAGCCAAGACAACCCCAGGTCACCCTGACAGTACCCTGCCAATTGTGCACTGGCTTCTGGGGAACCGTGGTCACAGTTGGCTAGTGACAAGACACAGATTCAAACTCTCAGCATCTGGTCTATAGTGTGCAGCCTGTGCTAAAGGTGAATTCACTGTTTGTACCTTTCTGAAGTTCCATCTCTTTAGCTAGGACTCAGTTCTCTTGGAGGTCTGCTGGAAGAGTTGGATTCATCTCCTGATGGTTTTCTGCTGTGGGCAGACGTAGCTGTTTTTGACGTGGTTTGCTCACATCAGTGTCTTTATGCTCTTTTTGTTTTTTAGAACATCGAGTATTACAAGTTGACGTCTGAACAGTTCCATGAGGCAGCAGCCCAGGCAGAAGCTCATGTGAAGTAAGTCATTTTAATTATCAAGAAGGACTTTTTCCTTTTATTCTATGGGTTTAATAAGTTGTGAAAGTAATACATCTCCACCTTGGCATTTTAAAAAAATCTTTCTTCTAATTAGAGAATACATTAAGAATGTCAAGACTGATATTCACTGCTGTTTTTCATTGCTCAAATAATGGGGCATATGCCAAATACATATTATTAAAAAACTGGATTTCGAACACCATTTATGTTTCTCTAGTTACTGCGAATAGCTGTGTAATTATGTGCATTTAGCTATCTTTTTATTTTTTTTTCTCTTTGTATACTGCCAAAAAAGGCTGTCAGAATTATAGGGGATGCAGTTAAAGTTCCTGCTGTGTGGTAAGGTGGATGGATAGGTGGATAATTATAATTTATTGGAATGAATATTTATTAGAACAGGCCTTTTCACAATACAAGAACGGCACCCATAAAGATGTGTCCTTATAGGATGCATCCACGTGCAAATGCCCATTTTACTGGTCGGGCTGTGCTCTGCTATGCTGATGAATCCCATTTAGAGAGTGTAGCAGCTACCCATGGCTGCTAACTTTGACTTTGCATGCACAAAAACAGAAACCTGTTCTGATTGTTCTGTTAGTTTTAAGAGACTCTCAGAGCTCATTTAATATGTTGACCGTCCTCAAAAAAACGCCCTGAACTGAACATATGTTCTTTGCAAGGTAGATGATCCTGGCAGATTGTGTAGTGGTAACTGGATTTTTTAAAGCTTTTCTTTTGTGATGATAAAAATGCCCATAAAATCAAAATCCTTCCCAATACTCATATTTGGTAGGATTTTCAAAATAAATTACACCTAACAAATATTCCAGAACCATGTAACTTTCTAAAAACTGTTAGACAAAAATATTGTTTTTCTCTCACAATAGAACTAGCTCGTCTTCTGTCTTTTGTCAAGACACATTCTGCTATTTTCTCAATATTACGGTTCGCCAATGAAAAATGGCTGAAGATTAATTTGCGGTTCATATTCATTAGCATCTATTCATTCTTTCAGCGTTGAGACACAAACTAATTTCCCTGCAACTTGTGAATGATTCAGAGCTGGTAATTAATGGAAATTGTTTGCAGTATGTGTGTGTGATGCAAAGAGTGACTTAAATTCAGTTCACATTCCAGTTTGGTTTATTTTCTTATTAGCTTTGCATCCTAACAAATCTCTTTGCCTTTAATGGTATGTCATGTATGAGGTCATGATGTGCATCAATAACAGCCTTGCTCTGGATGTTGTGTTTTGCTTTGTCCATTTTATGTACAGTATTTAGTGTTTTTAAATTAGCAAGCATTAGAAAGTGCAGCTACTTAACACAGAGATTTTAAAGGCTCGGGAACCCTGAGGTTCTCCAGAGACTATTTAGGGAGTGCCCTAAAACAAAGGAAAATTTCACTCAAAGGCTAATAATCTTAAATTCAACACTCACACAGTGAATCTGCTCTGACAGTACTTGAAAATGTTGACCTGCTTTGAATATTTTACAGCTAACAGTGTCTCCGATTCTAATAACCCTAGACTTCACTTTGATTAGGTTTAAATTGGGGATCTTTATTGAGAGTCATGCCTTCTAAAGGGAAGCTCGAGGTAAAGAGGCTGAAATCCCCTGACTTAGATTTAAAAGACAATTAAAGTTGAAGTTTATTGAACCAATTCTTTGCACAGTTGTGAAATTTTGGCTTTACTTCAAATTCTTGCATTTACTGGACATATAATTTATCTTTTAATGGTGCATCCTAGTGCATTATTAACATCTGCTCTGGCTACATATATTGCTTGTGAGTCCTGAGACCTTTTTCTTTCTCATTTCAATATTGTTGCTTATTCACGGAGTCTTCAAATTCATTAGTATAGTCTCCTTTCCTTCACGAATTCTCTTCTCTTCATACAATGCTGATACAAATCTCAAACAAAGAGTATATTTTCCAGACTCTGCACTGTTGCTGCTCAATTAATTTTCCTCCTAATGTCTGTTCTGAACAAGGTAACACTGAGGAAACGCTTTACTAATGAACCTTGATACTTTCTTGTGAGAGGTTTTAAGAGGTCACTCAAAGAAATACACCGCCAAATGAAATAATGATCATAAATGTCTGTTTGGGCATCAAAATGCGGTCTGATTGTTTTCTGGGGAAACTTGAAGATCTTTACCTGTGCTTGCCCTTTTCTCCCTTCATCTTCCCACGGGTTGTTTTCCTCGCATAGGAGAATTCTACTTTCAAGGTCATCAATTTTTGAACCGTGTTCTTCGCATAAAATACCACCCCTAAATTCTTCTATTGTGATTGAAGCACAGTGCCATCCACACGCAAGGTTACTGCTTACGTACTGTAGGTGATGGGAGGTGCCAAGCACCATGGCCTTGGTCTTGCTGTAGTTCACGTGTAGGAAATATTTAGTCATCCAGGTTTTTATACTGTATCAGAGATGCGATTGCAGAAAGAGCTACGTCAGTGTCAGGTTTAGTATGGACATAGCTGTGAGTATCATCAGCACAGAAATTATAATTAAGACCATGTGATTTCAATATCTGACCAAGTGGGAACATGTACTGTAATTGATTAAATTTTGGAGGCTTGGTATTGAATAAGATCATTTTGAGTCTTTTTAAAATGACTCAGTCTTGAGTCATTTTATTTCTTACCACGTGCTCTAGTGAACATGAAAATGAGGGGGCCTGAAGTCTAATTTAGGGACCATATGTCGTAATTTCACGCCCAATAAGCAGCTTTCTAGTATGTCTCTTAAAGATGTCTACCACCTCTACAGCCTTATTCATCTTTTGTTAATCATTAGTTTTGTTAATGGTCTTTGGTGTTTAAACTTCTGCCAGGCTTTCTATTAATGAATGTATTGAGGCTTATGAAATTTGTCCACTATACCAATGGTGTTAGAATTTTAATCTCTGTAGTTTTAAATGCTGTTACTGTTAAATGCTTAGTAGTTCTCTGTTACTGATCACTATCCCCAGAACTGCACAGAAATACATTTTTACACTTTAATTTGTATTTCTCCTTCATCCCTGTGGGCTTCCTATATTAATGCCATGCAACTGTCTGTTGCAATCAATAGCATTAAATAGTCTTTCAATCAAAATATGAATTAATAATATTGATAAGAAAAAATAAAATACAACTTCCCAACAGCACATGTAACTCCATTTTAGACTTTGATTAAATACATAAACCCCACTGACATGTCTGTTAATATACTCCCAAAGATAATACTGACACAGTGAACACTTTTTTAGTCCTTGTAATTCTCATATTATCTTAATATTTATTATTCATGATGCTTATGGTATAGTTATTGATCCTGGGCTTATTTGAGGATGATTTAAATACATGGAAGTGTTTCTTTGAGGTCTGAAGGATACATCACCAATTTGTATAAACTTAGAATCCTATAAATCATCTCTTGAGTTCATTATACTATAATTAATTATGAGCGTTTTAAAATTTTAAAGCTTTAAAGCTTTAAAAAAAGCTTTATCTACATAGATGTAATCTTTAAAGCCCATTAAAAATGTTTAAATAAATTAGAAATTTATTACAATATGTCTTTAAAAAAACCAGCACCATTTAATTTCATGCATCTTTTTTTCACTTTAGTTTTATACGGTATTTTTGGTCAAACATTTAGTTTAGCTAGGATGTTCTGCTAGGTTCCTTCTCTGCCCGTTTTTTTGCCTGTTTTCTTTAGCAAAGTGTCAGCCCACATTGACATCCTGTGCAATTTCGTTTTCCTCCTATCTTCTTCATGCCATGTGGCTCAGCTGGCGGCTCAGGTGTGTTTGCTATTTTGGCAACACTTTGTGGGGCTCAGGCCCGTTTTTCACCCTGTTTCTGTACTTGCTAGTTTTGCTCCTGCTGTGATTAGTAAGCAGCACCACTTGTAACGTTCAGCACAAAACATTTTTTAATTATAGTTTGTTGTCATTATTATTTTGAAAAGGAAGTGCTCTGTCTTCTTGGCTTTTAGCATTATAACAGTTATTTTAATGCATGAAAGGCTCTGTGTTGAAAAGTCCTTTTGGTCATAAAGTCCCTGCAACTATAGTAAAGAACCGAACATTGTACTGAAGCTCTGAAATCTTGCATGTCTGCAGGCCAGTGCACAGATCATGTTATATTTTCCATTTTGTTCATTATTTGAGTTCCGATCATATCGCTTATCCAGCGTTTTAGTTCCCAGTTCCGGAAAAGGGATTGTTTACAGTAATAAAAGGCATGAAGTTTAAAAATAGAAGGATGAGGATGTTTAAGCTCTTTGTACCTAAAGACCTTGTCCTTGTGTGTTAATGTAAAGAACGTGTAGAATACTCTCTCGCAGTTCTGATTAATGAACAAATTCTTTGAAATACCAAAACCATAAGCGTTAGAAAGAGATTGTTGGAGATACAGTACCCTATAATAATCTGGAACTGATATCAATGACGTGACAATACGTGAAGGCTTTCGTGATTTCCATCCATCTTAGCTACATCTGTCCAAGACTGGTTACTGCTAAGTTGCTAAAAAATGTTTTATAAAATGCAGAACAAACACTGCAACTGCATCAAAAAAGGCCTCCGAAAGGCTGTGGAAAAAAGTGATCATTGTGGAAGACTTATAACCAGCTAAATGAAAACTGGATAAATGTTGCACAAGCAGGTGCTTGATTTATCCCTCTTGTATGCTGGGTATTTTGTATTCAATTTTGTCAGAGTCATTGTGTGCAGTTACAGTTCAGCCAGCTTTTCATTTTGTTGCGGTTGTGCAGCTATTTCACACTAGACTGGTCATGGAATAATTAATCAATTTATTGATGCAATAAAACCCGAGAGTTTTGCACAGTGTTGTGCAGTCTGAGTGGTGACCGTCTGTGGTAGACGGGAACATGGGGCTGAAAATTACATTAGTGACATCATATCGAGAGCAAAAGGTTGAAGGTGTTTAACTTTTTTATGTAGATCTAACAAATGTTGAAT